GAAGTGGCGCTGTAGCTCAAGTGGTAGAGTGCTCGCCTTGAGCTGAAGAGCTGAGGGACAGCGCCCAGGCCCAGAGTTCAAGCCCCACGGCTGACCAAAAAAAAAAAATTATTGTGAAGCTGGATGCTGGTGGCTCACCAGCTGTAATCCTAGCTGCTCAGGAGGCTGATGTCTGAGGATCACAGTTGAAAGCCATCCTAGGTAGGAAAATCTTTAAGACTCTTACCTCCATTTAACCACCAGAAAACTGAAGTGGCACTATGGCTCAAAGTGCTAGCATTGAGCAAAAGAGCTCAGGGACAGTGCCCAGTCTCTGAGTTCAAGCTTCACAACTGAAAAAAATATCATTGTGACCTAATCTAAAAGATATAAGTAGGGCTTGGAATGTGTCTTAGTCTAGAATGCTTGCCTAGCATGCATGAAGCCCTGGGCTCAATTCCTCCGTACCACATAAACAGAAACAGCTGGAAGTGGTGCTGTGGCTCAAGTGGTAGAGTACTAGCCTTGAGCAAAAAAACTCAGGGACAATGCTCAGGCCCTGAATATAAGCCCCAGGACTGGCCCAAAAGAAAATGTAAGTAAACATAAACATCTTTAACATAAATTTATTTTAAAGATGTTGAAGTTAGTAGATCCTGTCTCGTGTAGCCAGCTTCAGAAATTTTCAAAATCTCTACAGCCTAATTTTCCTCAATTTCTGTTTTTCAGTTCCTTCGGTGATTCTTAAGGAATGGTCTGCTTATAAAGGGAAGTCACCTCAAACCCCTGAGCTGGTATCTGCACTGACATTTCGAGAATGGACTTGCCCAAACCTCAAGAAGCTCTGGCTAGGCAAAGCAGTTGAGGACAAGAACCGCAGGATGCGGGCTTTCCTGGCCTGTATGAAGTCAGATACCCCCAGTATGCTTAATCCAGCGAATGTCCCCACCCATCTGCTGCTCATGTGCTGTGTACTCCGGTAAGCCATGACTCTTACAGATTTATTATTGTTCTTCTAAAGGTGATGTACAAGTGACTTTTACTATATGCTTGGCTCTCTACCTCAGAAACATTGGGATTATATTTTTGGCTGCAGTCGTGCTTGAACTTGGGGCTTGGATGCTGTTCCTGAGTTCTTTTGTTCTTGGCTAATGCTCTACCACTTTAAGCTACAGTACTACTTCTGCTTTTTGGTGGTTACCTGGTGCTGAGTGACTTATGGTCTTTCCTTTCTGGGCTGGTTTTGAACCATGATCCTTAGATTTCAGCCTTGTAGCTAGGTTATAGGCATGAACCACCAGCACTTGGTTTGGAAATTATTTTTCTATGAATAATCTCCTCAATGAATAATCCTGTCATCATTAGTCCATGCTTAAACCCTCACTTGTTTGGCTTTAATTTAGTTTTTGTCACCTTCAGTCCTCACTGCTGATTAGTTCCCTTTGATGTATGTCCTCCCAAGCTATCCTCCATATATTTTTTTAGATGTATGTATATCTATGCACAGATTATAGTGTTTTTCTTTTTGGTGCTGGGATTGGAATGCATAGCCTTACATATAGTATGCAAATCTCCAGGTTATAAGCTTTACTGTACAGGTTGGAATGTTTTAGGGTTTGTTTGTTTGTTTTGTTGGTGATGAGGCTTGAACTCTGAGCCTGGGCCCTGGTCCCTCAGCTCTTCAGCTCAAGACTAGCATTCTACCACTTGAGCCACAGTGCCACTTCCAGTTTTCTGGTGGTTTATTGGAGATAAGAGTCTCACGAACTTTCCTGCCTGGGCTGGCTTTGAACTGCAATCTTCAGATCTCAGCCTCCTGAGTAGCTAGGATTATAGGTATGAGCCACCAGCACTGGACATTTTTTGTTTTTGTTTTTCCTATGTCAGCTTTCAGGCTTAAACTCAGGGCCAGAGTGCTGTCCCGGAGCATTTTTGCTCAAGGGTAGTGCTCTACCATTTGAGCCACAACTGCATTTACCACTTTTGGCTTTTTTGGTGGTTTGGTGATAAGAGTCTCACAGAATTTCTTGCCTGGGCTAGCTTCAAACCTGGATCCTCAGATCTCAGCTTCCTGAATATCTTAAGGATTACAGGTGTGGGCCAACAAGTACCCCAATCATGTGTCAGTTTTGTGTTTTGTTGTTGATGTTGATGTTATTTTTCCAGTCCTGGGCTTAAACTCAGCATAGGTGCTGTCCCTAAGCTTTTTGTTCAATTCTAGTGTTCTACCACTTTGAGTTACAGTGCCATTTCCAGCTTTTGGTAGTTAATTGGAGATAATAGTCTCAGGACTTTTCTGCCCTGGCTGGCCTTGAACTTTGATCCTCATATCTCAGCCTACTAAGTAGTTAGGATTACAGTTGATCTATGTGGATTATACCCGATATATGTGTCAGGTTTTTTTTTTTTTTTTGGCCAGTCCTGGGCCTGAGCACTATCTCTTTTGCTCAAGGCTTGCATTCTACCACTTGAGCCACAGCACCACTTCCGGCTTTTTCTGTTTATGTGGTACTGAGGAATTGAACCCAGGACTTCATGAGTACAAGGCAAGCACTCTGCCACTAAGTCACATTTCCAGCCCTGTGTGTCACTTTTTAAACAACCTCCTACCAAAGCAATTTCATTTTTTCAGAAATAGCTTTCTAAGATCCTACAAATAAAACCATCCTAATATTATTAGATTAGTCAGATTGTATATCTGTAGCATAACTGAGACTTCCTGAAATGTAATAAAACCTTTTTCCATCTTTGGTGCCCCCACCCACCCACCACCTGCACACTAGGGAAGTAAGGTAGAGCTTGGTTCTGTTTTGATTTTTTTCTTTTATTTTTTGTATCTTTCCATAATTTTCAGCTGTCCTGCAATCTCTTTTCATGATTCCCAATGTTCTTCCTCTCTTGCTTTTTAGAACATAGTATACCCTTTGTTACCTGACTCTTCTCATTCACGGAGTCAAAATAGAGGATACTTCTAATCTGCCATCTTGTCCACCCTCCTCAATTTCCTTATAATTTTATAATATCTTCCATGTCAGATCTTTAATGTAATGGGTATTTATTTTGTGAATGATGAGGGAGATTCTTACTTTATTTTCCTTCATAACTAAGAAGTTCCTAAGTCCCATTTATTAAATGTTCTCTTCTTTTCTTCACTGATTCTTAGTACCACCTTCTCACATACAAAGTTCCTACATATATATTCGAATTGATTCCTGGATTCTATTTTGTTCCATTGCCCATTTGAGCCCTCACAGTATCACGAATGAGAAGTTATAAGTTTCTTAGATATAATGTAAGGCATATCTCATGAAGAATTTTGCAATAGGAATAATAGTTTTATTCCTTCTACTGCCTAACATGTCTGAGCCATGGCTCCACATTGTCCTAGATTAACTCTATATTGTATATTTTGTTTTTCTTCTTCCTAAACCTCATAATAGTAGTTCATTTTTTCCATTTATTTCGTTCTCTCAGCCATATAGAATATATCCAGGAACATGAAAATTGCCTAAGAACAGTAAAAGTAATTATCATAAAGACTATGTTCTAATAGTGTAATAGGGACTATATACTTACTGAGGAGAATTCCTTAGTCTCCTGTTCAGCCTGGTTATTTTTTACATGAATTTTACTTTATTTAAAACATGTAAAAGGAGTTAATTCCAAAATCACACGAAATATAATAAATATAAAACTTCCTTTGTTAAAAATCAACTGGGGAGGGGCTAGGAAGGTGGCTCAGTGGTAGAGTGCTTGCCTTGCATGCATGAGGCCCTGGGTTCGATTCCTCAGCACCACATAAGCAAAAAGAAAGTGGTAGAGTGCTAGCCTTGAGCTGAAGAGCTGAGGGGCAGCGCCCAGGCCCAGAGTTCAGGCCCCATGACCGGACCCAAAAAAAAAATCAACTGGGGAGCTGGGAAGGTGGCTCAGTGATAGAGTGCTTGCCTTGCATGCATGAGGCCCTGGGTTCAATTCCTTAGCACCACATAAGCAAAAAGAAAAAAGCCAGAAGTGGTGCTGTGGCTCAAGTGGTTGAGCGCTAGCCTTGAGCTGAAGAGCTGAGGGACAGTGCCCAGGCCCAGAGTTCAGGCCCCACGACTGGACCCAAAAAAAAAAATCAACTGGGTAGGTGGGGCTGGGAAGTTGGCTCAGTGGTAGAGTGCTTGCCTAGCATGCAGGATGCCTGAGTTCAATTCCTCAGTACTACATAAATAGAAGAAGCCAGAAGTGGTGCTGTGGAGCAAGTGGAACAGTATTAGCCTTGAGCAAAATAAGCTCAGAGACAGTGCCCAGGCTCTGATTTCAAGCCCCAGGACTGGCAAAAAAAAAAATATCAACACTATGTATTCTCAATTAAAGGCTAAATTTCCAATGTCACCTCTATTTGGTCAAAAATTAAACATTTACATTAATCAGCTTACTAAAAGTGGTATTTGAAATACTTAGAAGAGAAAACTCATTCTTGTGCTTTTATTTCTATCAAAATATCTATGTCTTCTTTTATTCACAGAACCAAATGCTTCTGTTACTAAAAATACATATCTAACAGGGCACTGGTGGCTCATGCCTATAAGCCTAGCTACTCAGGAGCTGTGATCTGAGAATTGCAATTTAAAGCTAGCCCAAGCAGGAGAGTCAATGAGACTTTGATCTCTAATTAACTACCAAAAAGGACAAAAGTGGAGCTACGGCTCAAGTGGTAGAGCATTAGCCTGAGCAAAATAAATTCAGGAACATTGTCCAGGCCTTGGGTTCAATTCCCAAGACTAGCACAAAAAAAAATCCAAAGCTTTTATATCCTTTTCAGTAATTTTAGAATTACAGCTGTTTGGGGGAAGACAGAGATGTCCAAATAAATACATCCTCTTAAAATTACTGGAGATGACTTTGTTTTTTTCATTTATTATTAATTAATTAATTTATTATCTACTGGTACTGGGGCTTTAACTCAGGCCCTCCCCTTTTCCCTTAGCTTTGTTGCTCAAGGCTGGTGCTCAACCACTTGACACATACATAACTCCACTTCCAGATTTTGGGTGGTTAATTGGAGATAAAAGTCTTAGAGAGGGCTGGGGATGTGGCTTAGAAGTATAGTGCTTGCCAGGCATGCAGGAAGCCCTGGGTTTGATTCCTCAGTACCACATAAACAGAAAGTCCAGAAGTGGCGCTGTGGCTCAAGTGATACAGTGCTAGCCTTGAGCAACAAAAGCTCAGGGACAGTGCCCAGGTCTTGAATTCAAGCCCCAGGACTGGCAACAAATAAAAGAGTGTTAGAGATTTTCCTGTCTGGATTGATTTTGAACTGTGATCCTTAAATTTCATCTTCCTGCGTAGGTAGAATTACAGGCATGAGCCCTAGCACCTGTCAAGATGATTGACTTTATAACACAACATTTCAACTTAGATTATGAAATCCAATGCTCATATTAATAAAAATTCCAATCACCACACCTAAGGTGGGTCATCTTTTTCTACATGAGAACTTGTGTAGGTCATGCAGAAGCCACAGTAGAAACCTTCCTGTGATGTAAATTTTAATGCCAGACTGCTCTGTAGAGTGTCTTCCAACCTGATTTGGCTTAGTTTCTTCAGGATGTGTGATCCTGGGGCTTGAACTCAGGGGGCCAGGGCTCTTGTCTCTAAGCTTTTTTGCTCAAGGCTAGTAGTACTCTACTACTTGGAGCCACAGCTCCATTTCTTGCTTTTTGATAATTAATTAGGGATAAGTGTGTCAGACTTTCCTGTCTGGCTGGCTCTGAGCAGCAACACTCAGATCTTAGACTGTTGAGAAGCTAGGATTATAGATGTGAACCACTGACATCCTGCAGGAGTGATATTTAATGCATTGATGGAACTATATTCAAATGCCCAGGGATGTGGTGTCTGGGAAAATTCTGAGGCACAATGTGAAGCAGAAGAGACTTAGTTTAGATATGGAAACTGGAGACCCATTAGACACACTGTGAGTCTTCTTTGGTA